CCAAAATAGCCACAACGAAGAACTTGCAGTACCTGTAAGTAATATATGTAGCCAATTTCCGTCTACTAAAGCCTGTTCCGGTTTTGATGTTAACTGCCTTATTCTGCTTGCCATGCTTTGTGCTCCCGGTTGTTCCTGTAAATTAGGCGTGTGGAATATGATTTCATGAACAGTTTATCCACAACGTGGCGTTTGTCTTTGGGGCGGAAAAAGAGGCACATACAGTTTTCGCGAAAAATTTTAATTTTCTCTCCTCGTCCTGTTTGCACATGCGTTTTACCTGTACCCGAAGATCCTTTCGGCTCCTGTTTCGTTTTTGCACTTTGTCCTTTATTTTGTAGGGATGGCGGCAATGATGCTTGTGCACCAACCTTCGAAAGGGATGTGCTAGACTTTTCAGCTGACGCGGAGACTGCTACATCGGCGGATAATGTGTCGCTGCTATCGACTTCTTCTTCCCGTTCATCATGTGTTATTTTCCACTTTCCATAATAATGCACTTGTTGTGGTACCTGGTACTCCACCATTTTCCATGCTTTTAGAATAGTTCCATCTTCCTCTTCCTCCCATTGTGCGTCAGAATATATTCGTTTTGGGGGAAATTGATAGGCTTCTTCATAAGGTTCGTCGACATCGTCGTAGGCACCGTCATAGTGTTCGAATGCCATCGGATCTAATACAAGGTCGTGGTCTGATGCAATTGCTTTAATTTTTGCTAAACTGCGGGAAACTCTGTTATGCACTTTGGCGACATGTTGTTCTTGTGTTTCGAAGTCATCTGGATGCTGTAGAAAGGGGAAGCGAAGAGGAGTGGTGATGAGTTGAATTAATAATAGAATGGCAATGGAGAAAGGAACAAAAAGGGGAAGTAAGAACCGGAAGGACAAAAATATACATATAAATATTGGGTATGTTGTGTGCGGCATATATATAAGCAGTCGTACAAACTGCGCATTCTCCACATCTATATGTGATTATGTAATATTTCATACTCGACTTACCTTTAAGAAGATGCAAGCAACAAGAAAAAGCATAGCACCTATGTTGGAGCAAAGCGATCCATGCGCCCTTGTGCCATGTGTTTCACCGTCTGCATTACCTGCGGAATATGGTTTGCCATTTCGGCATTGCGACGCTCCTTGTGGAATGATGCTTGTCGATATTGTGTTCAAGTGTGCCATGTTGCGAATACTTATATAAAAAGCAAATGTACAGGGGTAGTGTGCTTTTCGCTTTTCTTTTTTTATTTACGCTACGGCTAGAAGCAAATTATGCAAAGAGAAAGAAAAGAAAAGAAATTAGAGAAATGAATGAACACAAAATTTTTTGCTTTCACGTCAGCATATAGCAGTGTGAGAAGTGTTGTGATTCTTTTTTTTTTTTTTTTTTTTTTTTTGTTTTCACGTCAGCATATAGCAGTGTGAGAAGTGTTGTG